CTACATGGGCCGGGTCATGAGTCTGCATCATGGATGTTGGCTGATGTGTAATAAAACGTGCTATGAAATGCTACACTGCCCTCAGTGAGAACTTTTCATGCTCAAAACACATGTGGGGACATGGATCCCTGAAGAAGGACTTCTTGTTGGCAGATGTTGGTACTGTGTTCAAAGTCACCATTATTCGACCTCAGAACTGAAGGAAACATGGGGGGCCCATTCAATGCGACCTCCTCACCTTCACATGGAAAAGGTACAATCCAGGGTCCCAGAGTATTCACTCAAAACAGGGCTGCAGGCAACCTCCCTAGTGTCACTCAGCTGATGCTTTTTCCATCATGACAGATTGCTTTCATGCGAAATGAAATAAAACCCATGTGTGCTCGCCTCGCCCACCAGCAGGAGCTGATGGCAGAGAAGACATGGTACCCAGTACCCGCTCGTCATGCTCCCTTCCCCTCCCGGGGCTTCCAGGCCCCCTGCTCTCTTCTGACCATCTAGAGCCTCACCCCTGCATCTGTCTCCAGGGTTTTCCCATTTCCCCACAAACTGCCACACTGAGTCCCATTCTCCCTGCCCTTAGCTGCAGCTGGCTGATCCAAAAAAAGCCCTGGCCCGCCCAGTGCCCCTTTAATGACCTCAGATCCTACCATGTGAACAGCAATGCCTGCCCATGCTTCCCACTGACCAAAATTCCTCTCTCCCTCTCTCCCTCTCTCCCTCCCTCTCTCTCTCCCTCCCTCCCTTCTTCTCCCTCTCTCTCTCCCTCTCTCTCTCTCCCTCTCTCTCTCCCTCTCTCTCTCTCCCTCTCTCTCTCTCCCTTTCTCTCTCCCTCTCTCTCTCTCCCTCCTCTCTCTCTCTCCATCATCACATCTTATTACAAGATGCAAAGAACATAGAAAGGAAATAATAGGGGCTGCCTTCAGGGCTCAGCAGGTAAAGGTGTGTGCTGCTAAGACTGATGACCCGAGTTCGATCCCTGGAACTGACATGGTAGAAGGAGAGTGTTAAGTCCTAAGAGTTGACCTCCACAGATACACCATGGCATGCACACACACACACACACACACACACACACACACACACTTAAAACTTTTAAAGAACAGGGACTAAAGAAGGAGCAAGAGCATACACAATCCACCAACAACTATCTGACCCTGAAAAGTAACAATCAATCAACGGTCTTCCTTTGAACGAGTTGCCAAGTGGCCAAGTCTTCCATCCATCAGTCAAGGCAGTGAAATCACAAGACAGCAAGAAGGCCACCACACCCACATTTTTGTCAGGGAGAGAGCGAGGCATCTGGACTTCTAATTACTTACAGCCTTGATACTCCGCATGAAGCCAACTCATACTTCCCAGATGCCTCCCAGAGAGGCCAGGCTCTGATTTCATAGGCGTGATGCCACCTCGGAATGGTATCTGTCTAGACTCCATGAAGCCAAGGAGCCTTTGGTCCAGAAGGGTCTCTGCCTGCAGTCTTCGTGCCTTCCTGATCAGCCTCCAAGGAACGCTCCAGAGAGACCCGGTTCTGGAAGTCTTGGAACCTGTCCAGTTGGACCCTAGGTCCAGAAGAAATCAATGATACCTGAATGAAGCTTTTATAAATTTTAAAATTCTAAGGTGTGATGACTTCTGGGTCACTTTCTGGCAGAGCTGCGCTTACTGCTGTTTCCAACACAATTTTCCTACGGGATTCCTCAGTGGTGGCCACAGGAACCCTCCACTCTTCCCTTTATCTGAGTTCTTTTTTAAAAAATAATTTATTTAACTTTATTTTACATGCATTGGTATAAAGGTGTCAGATCCCCTGGAACTGAAGTTACAGTTACCAGCTGCAATGTGGTTGCTGGGAATTGAACCCAGATCCTCTGGAAGAACAGCCAGTGCTCTTAACCACTGAGTCATCTCTCCAGGCCCTTGTCTGAATTCTTGACCTCTGGGATCTGAATAAAAACATATTTTTTTAATTCCTGGTTATCAGAAGGACCTGAAATTGAGCATCCACCCTCACTGGATCTGCTGCCCCTTGCATTTGTCTCTGTTGGTGGTGATGAATCCTAATGCACTCCAAGCAATCAGTGCCACCGGCCATACCCAGCTCCTCCTCCATGGTTTCCAGACATCTGGGAAGTGCAGCTGGTCACCTGCTCACTCAGTGCCCTTCAGAAAGGCAGGCCCAGAAAGGAGAATACTGTTTCTAGAACCTTCTTGACCCTGAACCCAAAAATGTCTTAGCCTCTTTTTGACTCAATTTCTTCCTCTTAAACAATGACAGTAGGGTTAGTCGTAGTGTGTAAATGAGTAACTGCACGTACACCTTGAAGCACAATTGCCTGGCACACTGTGAGCCAGAATGCATGGTCTCGTGGCTCTCAGTGGTCCTGGAAGAATATTGGAAATGGGCTCGTGTGTGACCCCTTTGAATACATGAGGCAGACGATACCTACAGAGATTAACTAATGCCGCCGGTTGAGTTACCCATCTGTTCTAGGCACAGTCTAAGGTTCCGATGGCCCATCGCATCCCTAAGACAGTTATTTCTCAGCTCAACCCCTGTCCTAGAGGCCGCAAAGCCACCTTGAAAACAGACTTGATGCTCTCTGTTAAGAAGGCATGCTTGCATCCCCAACCTTCCAGAGCCACATCTGACTTGTGCTGCACACACATATTAAATGCTCACACAGCATTTCCATGAGCTTGGCCCACAACCTCCTTTCCCTTCCCCTCTCCCCCATCCCCCAACACCTACTCCTTTCCCCCCTCCCAGATACTCACCAGAGCCTTGTCTAAGCTTAATTTGGGGTCTGAAAGCTTGGGATGGTTCATGGGGAAGAGCCAACCCACCTATCATGGCTCACAGCCTCCTGCCCATCACAGCCTCCTATAAATCACTTTAGAGCCACCAGGAACCATGCCACCTCGCCCCAGTGACAAGGAGGCACATCACCAGAGAGTGAACTGAGCAGATGAACAGTTTCTGCATAAGAAACAAACTGGATAAATGTGTTTTCTTGCTAGGGTTCTCCAGTGACTTATCCAGTGACGACCCTGACACTTGTCACAAAGTACATCTTCAGAATCCATTCCTGAGCAAGTGGGTGAAATTCAAGGCTGCCTACCCGAAATAAGTTCGTTGAGTTCCTGAGTGAAAAAGAAAGCACACTCAGGAGCAGTGTCAGAATTCACAACAGAATTGCTTTCAAGGTCACCAAAAGCAGGCTGCACTCAAACATTCCTATTAGTTGTAAAGCTTCATATCTCCCTGAAGTTACCATTCCATAATGATGTTTGTGCTGACTGGGGGAATGGTAGGGTAGTCCAGGGTTACAGGCATGAAAAATGTCTTCCTTATCAGCTTGGGGTAACAGCCACACATTTCCCTGCTTGTGTGATCTGTTGAACAAGCATTGCATTCATTAAATTAATATTCTGTGATGTTTTATAGGAAAGCGGATAATTAAGATTACTTTATTCTGAGCAGATGACAAAAGAAAAACAAAGCTTCGGTTGCTGTTTTCACTTGCATCATCCTTAAGAAAGCCAGGTGGGTAGTCAAGCTTGGAGGGTTTCCAGCGATGAGCCTACAGTTTCCAGATTGAGAGTCTGCCCCACCTGACTGACACATGAGGTCCCAGGAGGCCTTACTGGAGGTAGTGTTAGATAAGAATGAAGGCATAACACACTCAAACCCTTCCACATCTCCAGCAAGGCTGCGTGGAGGGCTGGCTGTGTCCCTGAGGTGACGGTCTCAAGTGGAGACACTTGGTGGCGAGTCTTCCATCACCCCAGTGGTGGGCGTGCCTCAGATAAAGTCAACATCCGGATGACAATTAGAAACAGCCCAAACAGATCATCATCCTTACTGCTGGACATCCAAGCACTCTCTCAGATCTTCTGCCCTGGGACCCACATGCTCTGAGACCTCGTGGGTCAGGGTAAAACCCACTGCTATAATTGAAAAACCATCTATCTTGCTGTTTCTAGGAGCCCCAGAGGCCACCTTTTGTCCAGTTGGTTTCTACACAAGTTCTACCAAAGCTGAAAGGTGCTCCTCAGGCCTTGCTGTGGCAGAAACAAAATGGCCATACATGTTGACACTGGGTAATCCACCAAATCAAGATGCAACTCTGCTGGGCTCAGTTTCCCTGGTTGGTATCCCTAGACCTCCCCCTTACCAAAACCCTCATTTGTTATTTTTCTGTTTTACTGAGTTTGTGTGTCTTCGTATCATGCGCATTAATTTTTTATTTTTTTATTTTTATTTTATGTGTGTGTTTGCATGCATATATGTGTGTGTGCCACTTGCAAACAGTGCTCACTGAGTCCAGTAGAGGGTGTCAGATACCCTGAAACTGGAGTTACAGTAGGTTTTTTAGCTGCTCTGTAGGTTCTGGGAACTGAACCAGCGTCCTCTGCGAGGGTAGCCAGTGTCTTTAACCACTGAGCTGTTTCTCTAACCCCCAGTCATGCATGTTAATTTTTGGTACAAAAAAATGTATAAAGCATAAGATGAAGACAAGTCTATTAAATAGACCAAAATAAAGATTATATCAATGTCTCCTGTAAAGATTTCTCTGGGGCTGCTGGATTGCCTGGTGTGGCCTTAGACAGCCAGTTGCTGTAGGGCCCAGCCCTGGGACTAGATTCAAAGCCCAAACCTCCTTAACAGGCCTTTTCTGGACCACTAGTCACTCTTTTAATATCCTGATGTCAAGTCCTGAGTCAGCCTGACACGATCACTCATCTACCTTGGAGAGGCTGCCCAACTGACCAGCTACCTCAGGAGACTCACCAGAATGCTCTCTCCTCCCCACCTCTCCATTTGCTGTGCGGTTCTTACTCTGTTAGCCTCCTCCTTAGAGATTCCATTCAGCTCCGTCAGTACTTGTCTTTATGAATCAACTGTAGGAGCATCGTGTGTCCCTAAGACACCCAGATCATGTTGTGTTACACACGTAAGTGATTGGGAAAGACATTTTTTAAAAAAACAGGCAACTTCTTGTGAATTTAAGTCTATTAAGCTAAACATAAGGGGACATACAGGGAAGCGTGTGGGGGATTGCTGAAATTAAAACAATGATAAGGGTGGAGTTGACTAGAAGGTAACGTGTAAGCACAGGCTGTGGTTCACGTGGTAGGTCACTCAGGGTCACCTAGACTCTGTCTCACACTGCCTGTGCTCCTGGTTCTTTGTCCTTTGACACGGGATAAATCAGGGCAGCTGAAGCAGGGACATTACCATCTGGTGATAGAAAGATTTCAAAAAGATGAATAGCACCGTTAATGAACCAAAATCGTAAAAGCTGAGGAACACATGTACACCAACGGCTAGGAAAGAAAGAGCATGCAAAGTCTAAGGGGTTCATAGAGGAAAGGGACTTCTGTGAGTCCCAGAAGGCAGACAAGGGGGAAGGAAAAGGCAATTAGATGTGCTCAAATCTTCGTGAGGACAGGAGAGAGATAGCTGACCTCCCACACTAAATAAAGCAAGTGGTAGCACGGGTGTGTTAAGAAGAGCTGAGCATATGTGGAGCATGACAGGCAATGGGAGGAGCATATTCCAGTCAATGAGGAGAGCCCAATATGATCCTACAGTTGAACTCTCCCTGGGGAAGTGACGAAGGACGACGGAAATACAATGGCTAGCCCTAAAGGTCAGGCCCGCCTCTTCCTCTAAGAAGCACAAGCCAATGTGAGGATTCAGATGCCCATGTGAGTTTCCTCTGTAAAGTGGAAGCCACCAAGGTCATTGCCAAGGATGAGAGAGTTATGGGGAGGGTTGGGAGACAAATGAGCCGGTCAGTGGTGGTATACACCTTTAATTCCGGAGGCAGAGGCAGGCAGATCTCTGGATTCAAAGGCAGCCTAGTCTACAGAGTGAGTTCCAGGGCAGCCTGGCTATAGAGTGAACCATCTTGAAAAAAAAAAAGAGAAATGAAGAGATACAGAGTATTGGTGTGTAGAACCAGGAAACTCTGGTTTGTAACTTTCCCCTGATGCTCACCTACCTGAAGGAAGCAGAAGGATCCTGGTGCGATGTAAGAGAAGAAGAGTCTGGGGTCAGCATGGACAGGAAGAGGACAGAGCCAACATAGCAATGAGTGAATCACAGTCCAGAGACTGCAAGGCCCCATTCTAAATCTGCTCTGCATCATTACTGATGGGTGAAGTGACCAGGAAAACCACTCACATTGGGATGGGATGACTTCAGATTCTGCGTCAGGATCTGCATACTGACACGCCTGATTTAATTTTTACGATGAGCCTCCAACACCACGGGATAAAATAGGAGGACACGCTATTCATGCAAAGAACCTTTAACATAGCATACTGTTCCGTCAGTTGTGTAGCAACAGTCAAGTTTCCACTGTCTAGTTCATGATCAGGCAAGCAGGCACAAGACCAAATTGCATAGCTCTGAAGAAAATATAAACACACACACATAAACAATATCTCCATGAAGCACAGCATTTGGCAAGTTCACTCCAAATAATTCACACTTGTCTTCCACGAAAGCACAACCCTTATGCAGCTCAGTCCAAATATATATATATATATATATATATATATATATATGTACACTCCAAGCTTTATATATGTCACCACTGACAAAGTATGGTCTGGTCTTTGCATTCTGATGTTTGGTTTTCCTCAGACTGTGTTTATTATATAAAATATTTTGGTTTTCCCAAAAGTGATGGCATTGAAGTGATTCGTTTCTGTATAGTTAGGCAAAGGAGACATGGTGGCCGATATATCCATCATTGAACTGGCTGCCGAAGTCGCTGGACTGTATAGTAAGGCAAGAGCAATAACAAGCAGAATTGTGGATTGTCAAGACTGGGAGACTAGAAGACCAGGCAGGGATGATGAAGACAAGGATAGAGAAGAGGGATTCTTACAGAGGGAGGCATGAGGGGGAGGGCAGAGATGGGGCGGGGTCTTAGAGGTATCCACAGGAAGGACGGCCAAGTTCACACGCAGAGTAGATCCTAAGAACAAAGGATCCAAGTATGAATGGGGATGCTGGCCCAGTCACCTGGAATGAGAAGGATGAATCTCGGTCATAGCACTGTTTTCCTTCTCCAGTGTCTTCGTCGTAAGATCACTCATTCCTCCAAACCCCCGTCTGCACTCAACTGTTCCTCATCTAGCAAACCCACTTGGCCACTCTTTCCACAAGCTAGCTGCTTGTCTCTGTTGATGTGCACTCTTTCAAGAGGCCTTCCTGAGCCCTTAGACTCTTCCTTCGTCACTGTTGGGGGAGCGATGGAGACTTGTACACTAGTGCACCTAGCTTTAATGCTCTATGTGGCAAGTGAGCTGGTGGCCCATCTGTCCTCTTCTGAACTACAAGATCCTAGAAGACAAGGGTTATATTTATGAATGTCCATACCCCAGGCTGTCAAAGGGTTTGTACTCAACTAATGAATATTTATCAGTAGAGATTTGGGGCTGGGAATCTGGCTCAGTGGGGAAAGGGATTGCTGTGCAAGCTTAATGGCCTGAGTTCTGGTCCCTAGAATCCAGTAACATATACACTGTAACCCCAGCAGGACCTAATGGAGAGATTGGAGCTGGAGACAAGAGAAGCCCTGAAAACTCAAAGGCCAGCTAACCTGGAGTATGTCACAGTGAGCAAGAGATGCTGTCTTCAACCACTTAGAAGGTGAAGACCAACACCCAAAGTTATCATCTGACCTCAACATGTGACATGTGATACATGTGCATGTGTGTGTGTGTGTGTGTGTGTGTGTGTGCGCACACGCACGAGCTCACGCCAGCCATAGACACACAACAAAAAGGTTTTTGTTTAGAGTAGAAGTCTTCAACCAGAGACGAACTATTAAATATTCTGGGTCACTCCTCAGAATACAGAGCCCTCTCAAGTCCTGCAGGCTGCATTTGGGCCACTGAGCTCAGAGATGCTTCTTGGCTGAGGTCGACGCTGCCTGTGGCCTTGAACCCTTTGCTGTAGAGATGCTTAGCTACATTCTGCACTGGCTCCTGCGCTCAGTCATGGGGTTAGGAAGCAGCGGGGTTCTACCAGGAACCGAGGTTCCCAGACCAGAAGCATACACGGTCAAGACCAAGCTCCAGGAAACAGTACACGGCTAAGGGACCAGAGGAACCTAGGCAAGTCCCTGCCCTTCCCAGAGCCTCCCCACAACATTCGGTCGATGCTACAGCACAGAGTGGGCTCTGAAGCTGGTCATGGCGATGTATCTAATGGAGGACATGCTTGGTTACTGACCTCATTTAAACCTCATTCTACCTCCCGAAAGCCTATGCAGAGAATAGCTCATCAGAGAAGGAGGGATTGGAGGCAAGTGTGACACCCAGACACCTGAATGTCGCAGTAGAAGCGGCCAGCGCCCTGCCCTTACTCCAGACACCGGCTCATCAGAGCACACCTGCCGCCGCCCTAGGGAGACCTGAAGAGGCTCCAGTTGGCAGGGGTAGCTGCAGGTCCATTCAGTCGTCAACGGAGTCCGATGAAAACTCGGCATGTGGAGAGGAAGAGCGACGACACGCTTTCATCCCACCTCAGCCAGGACAAAACTCCAAAACAGAAAGAACCCAGTGAGCTCAAGTAGAAGCCAGACAGGGGTGTCTAAAGAATGAACGAAAGAATGTGCTTGGAAGGATGGATGTGGGAGGACCACAACGGCCCTGGTGACAGCTACACACTGAAGACTGTTAGCTAGAAAACCAGTAAGTTGAACGCTCCGTGTCTCTTATGGGACTGGAATGGGGAGGATAATGACAACCAAGGCTATAACTAGTTTTCCCTTGAATCGTTTTATGAGAATTAACTCATCAAAGCGTATACCCATATTTGTGGTTGCTTGCATCATGTTCCTCCTCCTATATATTATCATAGATGAAGAAACAAAGATGGAAATATCATAAGGGGCGTGTCAGAGCCTATAAATACCAGAGCTGGAGTCTGCTGGTGTCTGGCTTAAGGGCAATGTTCCCAGTCGCTGCATGAGTGTTACCGTCCGAAGAGCTGAAAAGCAGACAGGACAATTAGCAGGTAGCGGAAGTGGGGATGAGAAAGAGAGAGTTGATTTAAAACAAACAAACATAGAGCCCATATGATCCCCAGGCCAAAGCTAGCCTGGACTGCATAGCAAGAGCCTGACTCAAAGTAAAATAAGCACAGCATTTTCCCCAAGATTATTATTTTGTGTTTGTAGAAATCTAATCTGTTGCTCAAAAGTCATCTCTCCTGGGACTAGAGAGATGGCTCAGTGGTCAAAAGCACTGGCTGTTCTTCCAGAAGACCTGGGTTCAGTTTCCAGCATCCACGCAACAGCTGTAACTGCAGTTCCAGGGGACCTTCTGGCTTCCTGGGACACTGCACGTCCGTGTGTCATGTGCATAAAAACAATAAGATAATACCTTTGAAAGTCTGTCCTTGGATACCTTTTTAGGACGGTTGTCAAGAATAGCTGGTTTGAATCTGCTTGGCAGGTAAGGGGGTGTGCACAGATGGCAGAAGAGTTTTCCAGTTGCTGGGGCCAGTAATCTGTCTAGCGGGAGCGCCCCTCCTCACCTTGCAGTAACCGGAGAACTAATGACTCAAGTCACAGGAACACGAGGACTGGAGCCCAGGCTGCGTTTGTACTTAGCTTTCTCTGTCTTCTCGGGCCGTGATTTCGAGAAGACATCTGTCAAAAGGAGAAGGAGGAATCAAGGTGGAGAAAGATAAAGAGAAGGATCCAGGCTAAAAACAGAAGTTAAAAACATTATCTTTGAAAATGACCAGACACCTAGGAGCTCAAAACTTTTCAGACTTGCAGCTGAAATGGGAGGAAGGGGAGGCTGATAAAGGAAAGCTCACCAAGAGCATCACTTAAGCCCCTCCCAGGTGTCCTCACGCAGGCGTGCGCAAGGCCCTGTGCTAAGAGAGGCCCCATCTGGATTCTTTGGAGACGTAACTAGGTGACCTCATGTTTGTTCCCTGAGCTCATTCTGGACGCTTCCAGAGGATCGGCAAATTGTCTTCCTCTGCTTTTAACGTCTGCCCTTGTTTCCTTCCCTTGGCACGATCTCCTAGTTATGAATTTCATCACGGACTTTCCCGAACTCTCTCCTTGTCGTCCTGGTTGTTCATCATTAGAATCTCCTGAAGTCACTCGCCTTGGTGGCTTTCACCATGCACAGCTCCTTACAGGTAGCTGTGATGGAGACTGGTTGCTTAGCATCCAATGTCCCCACCTCCTTCTGGGCACACAGACAGCGTCCCTGTCTATTCAGTGAACTAAGAGATCTACAGGGCACTTTAGTCCTAGAGGGAGAAGATGAGCCGTAATGCTCTCTGTCTCCAGGCTCCTAACGCCACCTCCTACAGTACTGCATTCCACTTTGGTCATTGTTTGAGCCGCCCATGGGATACCCAGCTCTGTACATTTGAGATGAGTGTAAACTTGAGACAGAATCATTGACACAGGGGCAAACATGGTAGCCCACATCTATAATCCCAGGATTTGAAAGGCCTAGGCAGGAAAATCTCCAGCTCAAGGGTACCCCTGGCTACATAGTGATCTCAAGGTCTGCCTATCCTGAGTGTCTTCCTGCAAGGCTATGACCAAAAACAGAAGACAAAAATAAGTAAATAAACAAACAAGAGAAAGGAAGGGGATGGGGAGGGAGGAGGAAGAAGAATTGGCAAAGATGTAAATGTCCAGAGATTTCAAACTAAGAATAACAAAGATAGATTCATGAAGAGCTAGCACTTAATATTGAAGTTGCATGAAAATGAAGAGAGGCACTTCCAGGAGGCAGCAACCAGATGTGACAACTGTCACTACATGTTTTATGAGAAGAGGAATGAGAAACAGCTGCAGACTTTGATGGTGCTAATTCCACTGACAGAACAGGGCTCAGGGTACAGAGCCCCCTTCAGGGGTCTGTGGGTAAATGAAGGGCAGACTTCAGGCAGGGAATAGAGACTTCTAGCATTTGGGAAGTCAGAGCTGCAGTAACAAGTCAAGGAGCTCACATGGGACAATGACAAAGCAAAGCAGAAGTTAGGTCTGTGGGGCTGGAGGGATGGCTCAGCATGTAAGTGCTTGTGGCGCTTCCAGAGGTCACGATTCGGTTCCCAGTATGCACGTCAGCAGCTCACGCCTAGAGCTCCAGACCCACGTGATCTGACACCCTCTTCTGAACTCCATGGGTACCTGCATGTTTACTGATGGAGAGGTAGTGAGACCTGGGAGAGGGGAGCCTAAAAATGAGGCAGAGTAAAGTCTCATGCAACAGTCAACTTTATCCACAGCATTAGACAATTTACAGTGTGAGGGCTAACAAGAGTCACGTGAGTAAAGGGCCAGTCACAGGGGCCAGCCATACATAGCAAAAGCACGTTTTCCATCTAGGCATATAAATGAGTAACAACAGCCAGCTTCAATGGGCAATCTGAGGTAAGCTCACCCCTAGCCACTACGCCTGGGAGGAGCATGAAAACACATCCCAAGAACAATTCTATGTTTTTGAAGAAACGGAGGTCACAGACTCTTGTCTTGTTTTTTTTGTTTGGTTGGTTGGTTGGTTGGTTGGTTGGTTTTTGTTTTGTTTTGTTTTGGAGTTTTCTCATAAGCACTCAGAATTCTCACATGACTCTATTCTTGGACCATGTTCTACCACACACACACACACACACACACACACACACACACACATACACACACACACAAAATAACCCCTTTAAACAATAGAAATTAGGGATTATCTTAGGGTTCTCTTGTTACAATAAGACAGCATGACCAAGAAGCAAGTTGGGGAGGAAAGTGTTTATCTGGCTTATACTCCCAGGTCACAGTCCATCATTGGAAGAAGTCAGGTCAGAAACTCAAGCAGGGCAGGAACCTGGAGGCAGGAGCTGACGCCCACTGAGGAAAGGCGCTGCTTACTGCCTCGATTCTCATGGCTTGCTCAGCACACAAAGACACACACACAGATACACACACCACACACACACACACATACACACTTATACACACAACACACACACACTTAAACACACAACACACACACACACACACACACACACACACACACACACACACACACGGTTGCAAAGCCATTGTGACTTGAAAAACTACGGTACCATCCACCACCCAACCCATACCTGGACTGTGGGACTTGTGAGGAAACAGACAGGGTTCACTCACTGCTTCATCCCAGCCCTGATTACACGTTAGCTGGTCTCTCCTCATCCTTCCTTCCTCAGCACCTTTACCTGATCCTACGAAGCCCCTCACTGGCATTGCCTCCTCCTGCAGTCATGTTCCACAGCAGCCATCTTTCTTCAAGGCTAAGCTTTCTCTGTTTCCTCTTGAATCTGCCATTGTTGGCTAACTGTTCATGTCTGTGCTCTCCTGGTTCTTGTAGGACAGATCACTTTTGATGACGTCCTGAGAACTTTGAAAATCACGTCACAGGGAGCGTGTGACCTTGGAAACCCCCAAAGGCAGCACCCATACCCCATGCAGGAGGAGAGTACTCTGAGATCTATCTCTGTTTACTGATGGCTCCCATGGAGGCAGGCCCATCAGCCCCGTGGGCTCTCCCAAGTAAGTTTTCAGATAAATGCAATTTGTTCCTTGTCTCCAAGGACTGTCAAACAATTTAAAGAAAAAAACTAAGAAAAGAAACATCTTAAGATGCTTAAGATTTCTCAAGTTTGAAACACAAGGAAACATCTTGTTTCTATACATGGATTTCCCTAAAACATAGGACACTGAATTCTGGCAGGTCCTTTGCTAATGAGGTTTTATGACAAAGCCAGTTGTCATGGCCACATGGAGTCCCCTGGGCCTGAGTGTGGGAGGCCCTGGCTAAGGAAACCATATCATTCCTTGAGCTATGGAATATTGTTCTGGCAGAAAGCAAGTGGCTGTATGTTCTCATCCCGAGGAAGGCATCCAAGGCCAGCCCTCCCGCAGCTTACCCTAAGCATGTCAATCCTTAGACTGGCTTGCTTTTCCCTGGACATGCTCTGTGGGCATGCTCTTCTGCTGGAGGGCTGTCATGCTTCTGCCATCTGAGCACACACAGTAAGGACTACAGCCTCAGCTTGCATCCCTCAGAGGGACAATGGGAAAAGTGATAAATTCATGGTGTTCTCAGGGGAAGGAGGCCTAGGACTCCAACCAGAGGAGCCCAAGAACAGCCTGCAGCTCATATTTTTTTTCTTCAGTGTAATGTATTTGAGAGCTGGCTTGCCAAGGAAAAGGGAAAGCACATATTAGAAATAAACCAGCCCAGTCCCAAGTCTCTGTTTCAATTGTTTCAGGCACAATCTGCCCTTGCCCTTAGTTCTTCTCTGAGGGCCTGCAGGGACATGCTCCCTGTTCTCATGGTTTGCTTTCACCTGTGTGGTCTGCTGTAAAGCAGTCCTACCGTAGACTCACGGGATACCAGAGCTGAAAGGAAGTTTAGACTTCAACTCTTCCAGCGCTTCACCTTTGAGGATGGAAAGGTGAAGCTTACACAGCAATCAGGAGCAGAGCCAGGGATGGCTCTGAAGCATCCAGAATCCGAAGGGATCTTTCCACTTCAGAGTCCATGGTACTCGACATTTTTCTTGGTTAAGTTTAACTTCAACATGGATTCCGGGGCTGGAGAGATGACTCAGCAGTTAAGAGCACCCGTTGCTCTGTCGAGAGTTCAGTTTTAGGTCCCCAGCACCCACATGGTGGCTCATGATCAATCCTAACTCTAGCTCCAGGGGATCTGATGCCTTCTTCTGACCTCTGCAGGCACTAAAATTACACACACACACACACACATACACACACAAAATTACTCGCACAAGAAAAATAAGATAAATCCAAAAACATGTATCCCAGATAGTTTCATTTTTTAAATAATTAGAAACTTTGGAAGAAAAATGGAATGTTTATACATTACTCAAGGGGCTAGCAATAAGTCCAGTCACTGTGGAAATCAGTAAGGAGGCTCCTCAAAAAACTAAAAGTATACCTGGCCATGCCACGTGACCCAGGCCTACCCCGCTCTTGGGTACATGGCTGAAAGGTGACACAACACTTGCACATCTGTGTTTACTGGTCAAGACACAGACTTGGTCTCAGTACCCAACAACAGCTGAATGGAAAAAGAAAATGTGGTATAAATACACAGTGGAATTTCAACCAACCATAAACAAGAGCAAAGCTATGCTGCTTGCAGGGAATGAGAGCAACTGGGCAGTGTCATATTAAACAAAGTAACTAGGACAAATTCCATGTTTCCCTCCTTTGTGGGTCCTAGGTGTTAGATGGGGGCATAAAATCACACGTGGACATGAAACCTGAAAGTAAAAGCTAGGCTCCGGGAGATGCATTAGAACAATGGAAGGAGGCGAAGGAGGAAGGGGGTGGGTACAGTCAACACACATGATACACTTTCATGAAAATGTCTTTATAAAATTCATCACTCTATATAGTGAATACACATGAAAATTAGTATTTAGAAAATGTCTAAAATTCTCTTATTTTCTAAATGCCTCTGCTTCTTTAAAGCAGATAATGCATTATTTTGGAATTTGAGCTATCAACTTTTGAAGAACCATAGCATAGCCCTATTCAACTGAGCCAAAAGACTTCAGACTTTGGGATAGTTAGAATGGCATGTAAGCCAATTCTGAGCCTATGTTTAGTGTCATAAATAAACATGTCACATCTGTCATCTTCTTTTATTTATATGGAGCCTATGGCTAGTCACAACCTATTAACCACATCCTCCAAAGAGAAATTAATCAAATCATCATGGTAGAAATGAGACTGGC